GGTATGATCTTGTTTCCTCTATGTGGGGCAAGGGACACATTCTTGTGTCTGTTTCGCTTATCAACTTTCTGTAGTTTCTTCGGGGTTCGACCCTACGCGCTTAACCATAGTGCAATGGAGTCACGTAGCCAACTGGAATTTTTATATTGTCTAGCGACACCATACTGTAACTCACTTTGAGAAATATCAAAATTTCCATCCGATCTTAATAAAACGTATTTTACAACGTCTGCTCCTACTTTACATAATCGGAAATCGATTTACGCTAATTATATTAAAAATTGATGACCGCTCGGTGTTCTTTTGACAGCTGAATCGATAGCTATTTGCACATAATTAATATTAGAAAATCTTACGTCCAAAACTGTCGAAAAATCGTGCGAAATGTCAAAATAACGTATTCAATATGGTAATGACTGATTTCTAAGTTCCCGTCTCATAAACATTTGAGTAAACGACCATTGGGATAAATTAATGGCTCTCACAATTATCATTTTAATATTGCAAAGTGACTCAACAATTTGATTAAGGTTTTCTATGAATATTATTATCGTTTTGGGGTTCTACACCTTTATATTTTCTATTTTAAAAATTTATCTTTCACTTCCACTTAAAAGTCCACTTAAAAATTGTCCAAATTGTTTTCCGTTAACGTTGAATTTTGTGGTAACAGGAGTGGTTGAAATATTAAAATACCCCCAGAAAGAAAAGCCCTGCAGCAATCTCTACCACGCATCTTGTTTAAATGTTATTTTGCTAAGGTATTCAATCTTCCACCAAGTGTACCCTATACCCTGCCCTCCTCTGACATATAATAATATAATCTTGGTCGGATAAGTGTTTACTACTTGCCCCTAAAACCAACAAAATATTATTTTTGTGGTTTATTGGTCCCGAGATCGAAGCCGTAGAAAAAATTTAATAACTATTTTATACTATTGTTAAACAAGCTCCTAAAAATTTTACGATCAATATAAAACACTTTACACTAACATAATACCATTTAATGTTATTTTTTGTCTATGCGCGCTCGTAAAACGCTTTTTTACTACAATAATATGGATTGGAGCTTATGAATGATTTATGCAGATGTTCTATAACTACACTACACATATTTACATTGGTATAAAGTACTAGAACTACATATTTTAATGTCAGCTGTACATCAACATCAGCTACCACTTTGTTACATAAATTTCAGACATCAGAACTGGAAGTTTTTTTTGGTTACGAAATTATGTGAATTATCTCTGCGGCATGGATTTATTCTGTTGTCTCTGCGGCATTTAACTGTTAAAAACCCACCGTGAAACGTCGATCCTATTCTACCAACTTCACACAAACAATATTATTGTAGTATCGTCGACATTAAGTTAAAGTAATTTATAATTTTTCAATAACTCTTAAATGAATGTTGATCTTAATTTATTTTTTTATATTTAGTAATAAGTTTTATTATTTACTGGGTGCTTTGTGATACATTTATTTATTTCTTAAAAACGATTACGAAATATATTTCGCGTTAGCAACCATTTAAAGTGGTGTATTTATATGTATAATTTTAAAACATAAGTTTCATTTCTGGCTAACACAATACAATAAGACATTTTAAGTTAAAATATCGTCTGTCATAATTTTCACTCGGGCACTTAGTTACACAAAATTTCTATGCCACTGTTTATGTTTTCATAAATCCTGATTCATGAGGACCGATACAATGCAGTAATTCCCAACTATTCAATGGAACACGATATAATTCTCATTTCTGTGTTCACTTGCGCAATGTACTTGCGAGAAACTCACCAATATCGATGACAATTACTAAGTACCAAGTACCTACCAACATTGACTGACATCAATCACTTTGAAACCAAATAAAACAAACCAAGGGTTTGTTACAAACAATACAATATTTTTTTCTAAATTTTTTTGTAAAAACAATCATTACAATTACCATTTAATTTTTTTTAAATTTCTTGATCGATCTCTTTCTCCATTGAAATATCTAGTAACAATTATTAATTTCCAGGTCCTATATTGACTAATATTATATGAACAGGAAGGTAATTTTTAAAAAGTTTACATGTAAACGCATGTTGGACCTACAGTAGGAACGACTTAGTTTCCTCTTTTGAGTTTTGGCCATCTTACTAAGAGACTAGACCTGAGAAATGAATGATATTTTGACGTACAGTGCATATCGATAAATCTGAATTCTAAGTGGTCGTAGCCCTGCTTTTAATTATTTATTTGTCATATATATGGAGTAGGTATAATATTTCAACACAAATCTAAAACAATGCTATAAGTCGAAACGTACCCTTATACACGAACTAATATAACAATTGGACATAAACGTACCCGAATAACTCAAGTAAACGATATTATCGGTTTATTTAGGGTTAATACCACGAAATCAAATTATTCAGTTGGCAAAATATCTCCAAGCGCTGTAACGTGGCATCGTAAATTTTGATTGAAAGATATGGGGCATGTTCGTTTCAAATGGATTTGTCTATGTTTAGGCCCATTTCCCAATTGGTTTTGTTTAACTGTGACAAAAGCGTACTGTGTATAAGGCTTCCGTCTCCTATAAACGCGCAAATCCGCGTCAAAATTTAATAACTTAATTATCTACACTCATATTATAAAGCTTATGAGTCTGTTTGTTAGAACGCACTAATCTCAGAACAAGTAGCCTCTGTTTTGTGTTTTTTTTTTTCAATTAAAAAAATATTTTTTGTGTTAGTAAGAACATCTATCGAGGAAGCCTTTATATTTATATAAAATCATGAATACTTTAAGATTCTCATATTTAGTCGTTTCGCTAAAACAATGTTTGCCTCAAATTCGACTCTGAGTCAGCAAAAAGGACAGGAAAATTCATTTCAAGATAAATGATAAAATCTACCACAGCATATGCTTGCCTTTTGGCTTAGTATGGAAAGAAATCTTATAATTATTTTGATATCTTATAAAAACTTGATTACCCCCGCAGCTGACAGCTATAAGCTTACCTACAATTTAACAGCTTAAAGCAAGCTCAAAGCGATAAAGTTTGAACCGTTCAAATCTTACTTTAATCATAACTTTTATGGCTTTCATATATCTACAGAATCATTAAAATGAGAATATATTAACTTAGATACGTATTAATAGTCGAAAGGTTGTAAATTAAACGAGGTCCATAACTTAGTTGGAATTTTAAGTATTTATCTTAAGGTAGGGGTAGGGCATAATATAATTAGGGGATGAGGGAACAGTAGTTTTTACTCACCTAGTATCTATGTCAAAAGCTTAATTTAGTTATAAATACGAGTTCAGGTATCTCTTTAAAATTATTTGATGTCTTGACATCAAAAACCCAATTTAAATGAAACACTTTTAACTAAAAAGGCTAAAACTCGAAATATATTAGTTATATTATTTACAATTCATTTATATATTTTCAGTAGTGACCCAACGTTTCCTCCGTGATAACGGCTGCTGAATAGAATCCCAACATCGGGCGATAGTTAATTTTTAATAAGTTTAATTTATATTACATCTTAAGATATAGTTACAGCTAAAAAAACAGTATAGATAATAGAAAAAAATAAGGACCCAATTATGTTTTCACAATTAGTAACTAACAAGTAGTAGTTAACTAATACATTTCAAGTTTAAAACCATTTAAAGAGTAAATGTGTAGTCCACGTGTAAATTACAGACATTATTTAATAAATAACTTAAAATAAAATAATAATATTTATAATTACATGGTTATATCTGATAACATAATTAATTCTTACTAATAAGTCAACGTAATTAATGATGTAAGTGGTGTTACGTTAAGTAACTGCATAATTATGTTACACGAATATTTAAGATAAGATTACAATCAGATAGTGATGGTTTTAAGAATTTCCTGTCTGGTTTTGGACGACAGAGATGTGGCGTACATTTAGTTATACTCTATATTAATATATAAAGCTGAAGAGTTTATTTTATTCTTTGAACGCGCTAGTCTCAGGAAAAAATATTTTCGTGTTGGGTAAAGAATTTATCGAGAAAAGCTATAGGCCTATAAAACGTCCTGTGTCTAATATGAGCGAAGCTACACCGAGAAATGTGACAAAAATTGGGAAAATTATTCATAATTATGGGTTGGCGAGACGTACGCTGCAAAACGGTTCAAGATACCCAGAAATATATCTCTATCTTTTAAGATTATCTTGCCGAAGACCGAAGGCGTGGTTAACAGCTTGATTTTATAAAGGTTTGAATTTTGATGCCCCGAATAACGATTCTCGCGGAGGAAGTCGCTGACATAGCTAGTCATCTATGATTGTATTAATACAGTAAAGTACATTTCACGTGTATTAAAAATATTCGATCTTGGATTGGATTGCTGGCTATAATAATAAATTGTGGTCTACTAATGTATATTTCTTAGGGTGGTTCTATTTGTTTACTGAGTTAAATATGTACTTCAAACGATGATCATAGACATTGAAAAGTTTATAAATCTAAGCTGAAAATATGATTTATTTGAAAAGCTTAATTTTTAATGATAATGCATGACAATAAATGGGTGGTAGGGATTACAAAATTCCGTCCGGGTCTGGAACCGCCATCCACTGATGAAGAAGCTGTGAAGGTTAATCACGTTTCCGCTTTAGTCTGTGAATTCTATATACTGGGGAATGCCATAGACTTGGGATATTTCACATATCATCAAGTTTTTAGAAATTACATTGCGCGAGAGGTGCGTACATCAATAGGTTGAAAACGTTAGACAATACGTATAAGGACACGGTAGCTCAACTGGTTTGAAGCAGCAGCACGGCGCGCTGTGAATACCGGTTCATATCCTGCAGTATCGTAAAATTCTGTAAATCTAAAATAACATTTTAATTAAAATGATTTAGGGCTTCTCCTCCTTCTTGAAAATACATTTTTTTGGTATTAGGCAACTCTTCCTCTAGCAGCCTCATTTATGATATTCTTGTATGCTTCAGGTGCTGTGTGGAGCCATGGCGGGCGACGTGATGGGAAATGCGAGCCGCGTGCGCCGCGCGCCGTTTACGCACCATTCGCACCGCGTCATGTTAGTTATCACTTTTAGTTTATTATTGGAGTTCCCCTTTCTTTCAATAAAACTAATTGTTTCTTTATCATAAGGAGAGTAAAGTAAATTCAATATAGCATTGAAATCAATAAGTTTCTTGGGTTTTCGAAAGATGATTCTCGTCGTTTCGCCATAACGAACAAGACATGAGTGTTCCTGAACTAAGCATACGTCGTCTTCGAAAACTTCGGTTTAAAAATGCCCGTGAAAACCTTATACAATTTATAGTGATAATTTTCTCTTTTTGTCATTTAAATATATTTGACTATTTACCTAAATAAAACATCTTAACGGTTTGAATGCGAAATATATTAGTTATACTTATTTAAAAATTAGTTTAATTACGGTCTAAAGCCATGGTCACAGAGTCTCCCTGTGACCATGGCTGCTGCTAAGTATAGTTAAAGTGTTTTATTTAAATGACGCGTACTCGCGTAAACTACAGACAGCCTGCCTGAACAAAATATAACTTTGAAATATTATTTTGCATCTATATGTAAATCTCTAACGTATTTTCCAGGACGGACGAAGAAATAGACGCAACCGCGTCGTGGAAGCGGTCGCACTGGCGCGAGATGCAGTCGATACTGCGGCGCGAGGGCTCGCAGCGCGACGTGGTCGAATGCTGCCCTTCAGTCCTCGAGATGGTCGCCAAGAAAGGCGGTCGCACCCCCACCGGCCTCTACGTAGAACTCTACGAGGACGGTGAAAACAAGCAGAGGCTCTACGAACTCTCTTGCGCACCCGACGTCGTAGACAAGCCTTGCAGATTCGTAGACGCTCGCCTATACAACCAGTCCAGATGTGTCCAGAAGTATTCATATTCGTACGCGCTAGTTAGGTACTCTTCGGCCACCGAGATGCCCCCACGGCATCGACCAGAGGGCCACTTCTCCGTACCTGGCTCCGGGGGCTGGTCCATGGACTATGTGATAGTTCGCGCCGGCTGCGAGTGCCAGATCACGCCGCCTAAACGTAAGAGTGCGCACAGGAAACGTCTGGAGAGACACAGGCAGAGGAAGAGGAATAAACGGTTGGAGGAGGACGATGACACTTGACGTGTGTGAGTGTGTGCTTACCAGTGGACTTTGAACAAATTGCGGTATATCCGATTTAGTCTAAGTGAGCTGATGCGCCGTGGTGTGTGTTACGACGTGCTTTATGTAGGGTATATAATTATTGACTACACCTGTCCTTAATCAAAACTTGGGGGAATCCATAAATGGGGGGAGACGTAGTCATTCAAGCAATGTGCCATTTTACTTCTTATTTCCTGTCAATGTTTCATTTCAATCCGACCTATAGATGAATAATCAAAATGTATCTGTATATTTTAATAGCCATAACCCATGTAAAGCAGACAGCACGGCCCCTCAGAACAAATGTTACCGATGCTGGGTTGTTTCGACAATCGGTACACGTATTATTCTATGTATTTATTATGAATAGTCTATTTAATTACGCTTCTTGTTGTAGTCTCTCTTTACATTAAAATGTTCTAATATAAAACGGTCGCAGTGCCTTTACTTTGTGCCTTATTAATTACGAATTGGTTCAGAAGTAAGAAAAGCTTCTTTTGACTTTGACCTCTTCTCCTATTCTCTTCGACCTTTATTTCGTCTATATTAAGAACTATTTCGTTATGTGTATACTAAAGGACAACAATTGCTTGTATAATTATTATTTTAGTGTTAATTCGCAAAGTGTCTAGGGGCTTCAATATTACAGGTATTTCATTGAAAACCGCAAGACTTAAAAAAAAAAAACTAATCATCCGACATAAAAAAAATAGTAATAAACAATTTAGTTAGAGACAGAAAAATATGGTTTAAAATATTTGGTAGTGAAGCCTCTATTTCTTTCTACTGATTTTAATGCTCTCTTAAAATTGTAAGGATATTTATTAAAAAGTACTTTTCTACAAATCATTATTGTACTTCCCGCGTAGTATAAGTACGTCCAGTCAAAGATCTGTATTATTTTCTATTTTGTACTACATTTATTAAATTAAAGTAGCTTAACAATACATTTATTTATATTATAAAATAAAAACGAGGTATTCCGATATTCATATGACTTATGTAAAAATTGCTTCCATATATATAATGTTATTTTAAATAAAGCAATAGTATTGTAAACTGAGATAATTTTTATGCATTTAGGTGTGAAATCGAAATACATTATCTTATATACGTAACAGTGCCATCTATTGTAACAGTCATGTAATTGCAGTTCTAACAAGTCAAACGTAGATGGCGCTTTTATCAAAAGTTACCAGCGCCATCTATCGTGAGTATTAATTATGATTAAAACTTGCAACATCACGTAACAGTGCCATGTAAATAAATTGTAAGTCACTTATTTTAAAAAATGTTATAAACGTATATAAACCTCTAAAAATTAAAAAAAGTATTATCTGTTGAATCTAGTATGTAACTGTACTTACAATGTCCGTCTCGTACATCGTATTATACAATATATAACGAACATTTTACGTAGATAATGACTATATTGTTATAAATTTCATTTTAAAACCAAGGATCTATAAGATTATGATAAATTTGTATATCATCTATAACAATACAAAGTGCACTTAACTGAATAGATTATTGTTGAAATTACATTTTTACAGTGTCATTTATTTGATTCCATTACGAGTTGGACAACATGTGACTTACTGATTGTACAAACTATAACGTTGTTATATCAAACAGAAAATAAATGAAATACGATTTTTAAAAAGTATTTTATTCAAAACGTTCATGTCAAAATTTAATGTTATTTACAACTTAATGCAAATTTGTTAGGTATGTATGTAAACAAATATTATATTTCATAAAGGCATATTTTCCATTGAAAAATGAATCTCTGGATTTCAATCCTCCAAATGGACGAAACACTTTGAGGCCGTTAGAGCCAGAATAGCCCAAGTGCAATTTTATGACTTGACTTATTTATATTTTTATAAATGTTTGTCAAAATCTTAATCTACAGGAGCACAGTGACCGAAATTTATTTACACAATTCTTACACAAATAAGAGTACAAATTCATTATCGCCTGGGTTAATTGCACATTTTTATATCCAGCCTTATTGAAAATCATGGGATTTTTCGTCGGGCCACTGTGGTTCTAGCAGCCCCAATTTTTCCAACGGTTTTCTTATATCTAATAACCTAGTTTTATTAGTCCTTACTGTCAATAAACAATGTATGTGTTATTTAAGCAGCGGTCAGTCATGGTCTGAAAGGAAAATATGAAATCTTAGTATTTTATTTTATTCGTGTATAATCTATGTAGTCGATAAAAATTGTTTAGTTCTTACCTAGGTACATAGTAGACAGATACATAACAGCAAAGCCGATGCCCACAGATAAAAATTGAGCGATTCCTGCCGATCGCTTCTTTTCATGCCAACGAGCTCTTTCTCTTGGCAGTACTTCACTTACGGTCACGTACAATAAAGTACCAGCGGCTAGGGCCTGAAAACAAGTAGGTAGTTTTTTTTAATGATAGAGGAGGACAGACATGGCATATCTGTCCATGCCATGTCATGTCTGTCCATGTCATGTCTGTCCATGTCATGTCTGTCCATGCCATGTCTGTCCATGCCATGTCTGTCCATGCCATGTCTGTCTGTCACGCATGTCTGTCTGTAGGGTATATCACCATCAATGGTAGGTGATATACCCTAGCATAAAGCATCTTAACAAGTTGCGCTGTCAACCTATTTTGGCATTGGATAGAGCGTTGTCTCTTTCGCACAGATACAAAGAGTCCTAAAGCAATTAGATAGAGCAAGAAACGCTGTCTATGCTAGTTCAAATCCCATCCGCATCGTACGTTTTTTCATTCGTGTGCAATGACTTAAAAAAAATATTAAAGTATTCAGATAAGAATGAATGCCTCTTGAATGAAGGCAATCTTTCAATAATATTATTGATAGATTCCTCGTGTGTCAAATACTTACCTGCATTATAGGAACAGCAATTGAATTCTTCAACTTGCTTATAGAGTCAAGGCCGGCTCCCAAACCAATGCCGGCTACAGATCCGCCACTAAACAACGTAACGGATACAATGTGAGCGCAGAGACGGTTTCCGCTCTCGCACAATTCAGCGCCTAAGCAAAAACCCACCACAAATTTGTGGCAGGCTACAGCTGCTAGTAAGAGGAGCACCTGAAATAATGATATTAAATAATTTACATTTTCACAACCAACTCAATCATTTTCTGTATAACATTTGGGTTTTGGAGGCTAATTTTCTTACTGCTCTATTTATTGAACTGTGTATGCATTTATTTGATTACACAGTGTAATAACTATGTAACGAGTACTTCACCTTGAAACAATTGAACTCAACCAAAACAACGTGCAGTACAATTAAATGATAACGGTTACAAATACATTTAGATATAATACACGTTGAATGATAAACCAATAATTATTTTTAAGTATGATTTATTTGTTTTGTCTACTGTTTGTGGTTTATTAGAGATTAAATATATTGGAAAACCGATTCGAAATGTCAAAAAATATCAGTAACTTCAGTATGTATAACTAATTGTAATTGATTGACGATATCAATTAATTAAATGCATATAATCGCAGATCTAGATACTGTACATCAGTACATTATATATACGTGATGTAATGGTTAATTTGATTACGTTGAAATAACAATTTAAGTTATACCTATATATATATACCTGTGATGTTGAGTCCTGAAGCCCAATAGCCAATCCTTCTAAAAAGCTATGCACTAACAACGCGCAGAGCAAACCAATAATTCCCGAAGAACTCTTATTACACGGTTCCGTATGACTAACATGACACATTCTGGGATTACCAGCGTCACCACAACAATGCTCCCTCATCTCTCCGTCCCTTACATCAGCTCGTAAAAGTCTAGACTCTTCTGTTGTATATGTCCTTTTCGGTGCCTCGTGGCCTTTACTGTGTGCGCCATAAAAAAAGTGAACAACTTCATCTACCAGATACACAATGAAGAAGCCAGCACACAGGAGAAGTTCTGAGTAGTTGGGCAGTTTCTCTCTTGCCTCTGGCAGGATGTGAACTAGAGATGTGGATAATAGAACCCCTCCTCCGAAGCACAGAAGACACGAGATCAGCAGCGGATGCCTCTGTCTTGCTCTTTCTGAAATGCACGCTGGTGCCATGCCAGCCATAAAGCTGCCAAAGCCCAAAGTCAGCATAGATATCACTTTAGCGGTAGATACCTCCATTTTTGGTCCAGTCTGGAGTTCCTAAACGACTACGTTTCACACTTCCTACGTTACTCGTTCACATATCCTTATCAGTATTTGTATATCATAATCAAAACACGCGTTAGGGGATTCAACGCGATAGACGTGTGCGCCCCGAGCTGGCGAGATAATACTGTATATTTTGTAATTTGTTATCGAATACCCACATGAAAATTTACACCATATTCAACTTTAAGACTTATTCTAAAGCATCATGGTTGAAAATGCTTTGTCTTTTATGTGAAGTAAAATGACCCACTACTTTAATTGGAACTGGATGATAGCTTAAGAATGAGGTAGTGCGCGAATTAATACGAGGACATTATAGGTCTTAGTAAACTGGTTATGAGGACAAAGAATGACATTAAGTATTTAAGTGAGTAACTTGGTCAAATGTGAAGGGCGATATTGTTGTAAATAACTCTTCACTGATATCGATATTATGTTCGTAAATAATTTTATACTTAATAATAGTAATAGCAAGGTAATATTTTTTTGAGGACAGGTTTAAATTTTAGTTAGTGTTTAAACATTAATTATAGATAATATAATAAAATATAAATCCAAAGAAAGGCCAATTGTTCTGCTTTTAACTACGTTATCATTTTTTTTAAACATTATAGGAGAAACCTTATGATTTTGTGCCAAACTTTTGAAACTGTTTTGTTATTTGCAATTAAAGCGTAATAAAAAAATAAAAATGAATGACATAGGACCCATCAAATATTTTTTAACCAATGACAGCTATCATTTGGTAGAAAAAAGTATTAAAAGTTATTTAAAACAATAAATTAAGCGACATGAACGAGTTACTGCAGAATCACGGCTGTTCCAATGTATTCAGTGTCCCCGAAGGACTTAAAGAATTAATGGCTGATATTTCTCGCGAAGTTTGTATATTTGATTATAAATAGACGGAATGATATTTTGTTTGGTTCCGCCATCCTATTCAGAAGTCATTTTTGCGTTGGGTAGCCGATTGAGAAAGAGATATGACATTGTGTTAAAAACAGATTAAATTTATATTACACAGTACACACAGTCCACAGGGATTCCTGAACGCTTAAATTAACATGGAAACTATATTTTAACCCAATTCAAGCCATCAGTAACGTTTGGCTCGTTATAAAAATAAAAAAAAAACTAAACGTTTTTGTAGGCTAACGCAACGTAACTTATCTATAACTGGCAAAAATTTTGACCATGACTTGTTTTTTCCTAGCCATCTAACTATATAATTGTTCTTCATTTTCTTATAGGTTCTTCGAGAACAGCCAGCAAAGCTTTTCGACTTTATAGCCAACTACCTCTCTGTACTTCTGATTACTCGTGAACACGGCGTAATGGCGGTGAAGGTTTTAGATGATCTCTGTGACTGCAGGCCTTCAGTGTCCGAACATCTACTCCAGCTAGGATTGTCTGACGGGCTGGCGAGAGATTTAGCACAAGTTATTAAGGAAGAAATCGAACAGTTTGAACCTGAAGAAGAAGCCGGTTGGATAACTATTTTTTGTTTTTTTAGTATTATGCCATTAACATTTGTAGAATATGTTAAAATTGTTCATAGAGAAAATAAAGGAAATGCAAATAATGAAGAGAATATTGACAATATCCAATCTCGACGAAGTATTGGCTCCGAAGGTGTGCCAAGTTGCTAGAAACGCTTATAGAGACTATTGGTATCGCAAGAAGACATTAGAACAGGTAAGATTTAGAATGTATCCCAATAGAAATAAGCATTCACTTTTGTACACTCTTTACCTTTTTCCTTTATCCTTTGTAGTCTATGAAAACTCAACCAGATGAAGCTTGGGAAGTGGCAGCACAGCGTACGTTGCAAATATATAAAAGTACCAAACCATCTTTTAGTGAGCTGAACAGAGCTGCACAAAAAATTCAAGTTAGTGACAAGAGAATTTACTTTTTGGTCGAAAAGTAGTCTAACTAGAAATAATGCTGTGTTTTCCCTGATAAAATTGCATTTGCCTACGAAGTGAAGTCAACGGAAAATATTGTTCGTTATCTGTGAAATAACATACTTGTAAAAAAAACGTGAACTTTATCAATCTGTTTTCACCTGCTGCAATGCATTCATAACGTCTGGTCGTAGTTATGGTTAAATTAACTAATTAGTAAAGTAACTTTAAAAATGTTAAAGTTACTTTTGTAAAGTCCTCTTTTATCCATAGGCAGCATATAGAGGGTACCATGTGCGAAGGAACCTACTAAAGCATTTGAAACCGAAAAGGAAGAGTGGTCCAAAAGTCAATCTGCCAGGACCTCCACGAGATGTAGCGGGTTCTAGAGAAATTGATTTGGGGCCAGTCATAGTAAGTTTAAAAGTTTTTAACATACGAAATAATCGTATGCATATAAATGCATCGTTGTGCATGTGTAGGTATGACATATTACTTGTTAGTCCAGAACTAACGTGGCGTCTTTCATCTTATAGTGGTATAATTTGTTTACTCTTATTAGTTGTATTTTTAAGGTAACATTTTGATATATGTACTTTTATTGCGGTAAAGAGTTAAATAAATAAATAAAGTATATAATAAATAATTAAACAATGAATAGTTTAGGTTTCGTGGATTCAATATTTACCGGTTTCAAAGCCAAGGTTATTTACCTTGAATTTTCTAAACAAAAAGGGGGTCCCCCCGGGAAAGGGGGGGGGAAAAAAAAAAAGAAAGGGGGGGGGGGAGAAAAAAAAAATTTTAAAAAAAGGTTAAAAAAAAAAAGGGGGTTTAAAACCGGAAAGGGGTTTTTTTAAAGGGGGAACTACTCGCGTAAACTATAGACAGTATTTTCTAAACATGTTAGACAAATTGTCCAGAACTTGTGGTTATTATGAGGCATGAAATACTACCGCGTCACCCCTTCAGTCTATGAATTTCCTGATGGATGCGACGGCGCATTTATATTTTATATGGCAAACTTTCACTTTCCATTATGTGAACCTACCGATCATGTCTAGCTTTAATAAAATATTCAAAACTACAATTTAATCAAGATAGGGATAAATTTAATGATAAGGAAGCGAGCCGTTGAGGAAAATATTACATAAAAACGCTATGTGCACGTGTTTCTTTGTTTATACCAATTATTATAATAACATAAAATACAAATCAGATAACTTAATAACACCTTGAATATCGCTTGTTAAAAGACAATAAAAACATTCAAATGATTTTATTAAATATAAAATTTATAAAACAGAATCTACTTAAGATAACTTCATTTGTAAAAATTAAATTCGAAAGGAAGGAAACATTGGGCAAATACCGTATCGATTAAGCCTCTTAACGAACACAAAAAACATGTATCGAGCATAATTATGCTGCCATGAACACCAGAGAAAGCATCCAACTGCACTCGTTCTTCGCCAAAGAATCACTCGTGTAATATAATCATGTATAAGGCACACACATGGGTCCTCTCCTTTGATATCCTTTCGCGCACCCATTGTTGTTTCTATTCATTTCTTTATCTATCTTTTTGTGTACTGGATAATCCTTTTTAGGGGTAATATATCGCACTGGCCTCTTCTGCGGACAGGAACACGATACTAGCGGTGACAATTCCCCTGGTAGAATCGGGTGAATGTCTTCTTCTATCATCCGTTCCGGAGATGATAGATACTGGCGCAGTTCCTCCACATCTGCAGTGGTTGCAATTTTACATTTGCATTCATCGCACGATACGAGGATAAACAAAGAGGAAAATAATAAAACACTTATTAAGTTGGATTCCATGCCGCCGAGAGCGTTTGAATGAGTCCAAATGAATGTTCACGTCTTCTTTTATAGCCGTCAAACGAATTCTGGATTTTGTTCTGCTGTTAGTTTCCCGCGGGGTTGTTTCCTTATTTGTTTGGGTTTTCCATGAAATATTTATTTGCGTAAGAAGTGGTTGCTCGTTTTATCGCATTTTGTGGAAGGATAGTAAAACAAAAATAAATAATATTAGTATTCTTATACGGTCTCCACGACTCCCCAAACGTCTGTCTGTTTACTTTTGACATATGAATTAAAAAAAGTTTATAAAATCTTTCCTTAAAAAATAATATTTGTTGTTTCATTTTAATTAATACGGAATAATGATAATAAGGAAAACAGTAGGTTATTTTGAAATTGGTATAAATATGTACATATTTTAATATGTAAATTACTGGATTACGCGCGAACTCCTCCAAAATGGCTCAACCAATTTTTATGAATTTTCACCATATATTCGTTATTAGGCCTAAAAAATTTGTTCTTATTTATGAAAATGAATAATTCAAAACAGTCACCAGTATGCAGGTGTCACGCGAGGACATTAGGTCTCTAATGTATTGACAACTTTTGATGACGTCATAATACTATTGACATTTCGGAATTTACGCATAGCTCAAATTAATTAACCCAATCCTGATCTGCGTCATCTAATACATTTATTTCTTGGAACAGAGACAACCATAAATGTTGCTTAACTGGTTCCATTCAACAACTTAATACGAGTATCTTATTCTTGGCCGCCTCGTAGTGAATGCTTAATTTCGAGGTCTTGGATTTAAAATTTTAATTCCATGGAGAAACATCGTAATCGTCAGTCGGGCAGGGCATACAAGTGTGCCTTTCCCGATGTCTCCCCCCTCGCTCCCCCGACCCCATCTCTTTCTCCAGTGGGTATAGGTTATACGTAGGTACTTTACTTATTTTTTATTTCTTAGAAACTTCGTGTACCCAAAGACGATATCCGCACTATGTTCGGTGAGCACGCCACACAAAAACTAGGCCTACCCTACGATCCAATGTTGACGATCACACATGTGGCTGAAGACCAGGAATCCATAATCTCGAGCAGGCGAGTGAGCAGAATCTCAGAATTGCCGTTCCCCGTTAGAAGTCGGGAGAGCAGGCACAGTAGATTACCAAGTGCAGCAGTCAGTGTTGTTTCTGAAGGTAAATATAGTACATATTCCAACTCTTATTGCTACTAAGATGGCAAAGTCATAAGAGAAGATATTGGTGATTTCAGATCATTTTTCACACTTTGACACTTACATACTTAAACGATTTTTATGAAGGAACGAGTAAAAGCGCGGATGATATAGCCAATATAAATCACCATTACGGTTTTTTTTTATAAATGACTGGTGCAAAAAACAATGGTTGTGCATTCAAACCACCTAACGTGGTGGCAGGTGCTGCAAAGCATCTGAAACGTCAGGCCGTAGTTAAAATAATTTCCAAATAAGTTTAACTAATATATATCGTGTCTTAAACCGTTAAAATGTTGTCGTCATTATGTCATCGGGTTGCATTTGTATATAAAGTTAATATTCTTTCCTTGTTTTTAGTTCCAAAGCGTAAAAATAAATCACTTTTGGGTATATTTTTCCCGACAATATCATTGCTTAAATATCGGAGACTTAATTAAAAATTGCGAGCAGGCGCGAAACAGAAAATCTTGCCAAGTGCCGTGGAGGTGAGGGAACCACTCTCCGTGGAGGAATCTATGCACAAGATATCCTTCTCTGAGGTAATTATGAAACAATTTTAAATTGTAATAATGCAAAGTGGGTAAAGCTAGCTAATACTTGACATATTTTTACCCATGCAAGATGCAATGATAAGCTATAAATCTTAAGGCCTTAAACAACAATGTTTTTAAAATCTCAGCAGATTAAAAAAAAATGTTGTTTAAATTTATAAATGAGACTTTAAACTAAATGGTCCTAATATTATAGGTACCACCTGAAGTTATCCCAGATGTGGAGATGGAAATCCCACAAGAGCAAGTTGAAGGAGGTGTTGACGTAACCTCATCTGAAGTTGCCGAACAAGAGATACCTGAAGATATTCCTGGTATTATAAAGTACTTAAACGCCGTAGTAATCAAAAGATATACTTAGGTCAAATTTCTTTGACACAAAAATCTTAATGCAATATATACCATTTTGGAATATAGAAAATTGTTACTATCAGATCATCCACATTTACATAAGGACGGGATGTAAGCAATGTCAACGACAATAGAAGTTAGAAGTACCACTCATGCACGATCGCTGAAAAGTGTTACAAAGGTCGAGTTAATAACTAACAACGTATATTTATTTTAATCATAAAAGTGATTTTTAGTATTGAGGTCTTTTAATCTAAATATAGTGGATATTTCTTTAGTATTCTTAGTGATCTCTAATGTAACAAAATTTTCAGATGACAGAACGGAAGGCGAAGAGAGTGTTCCAATGTCAATGCCATCATCTGCGCCTGATACTGCAACTACTACTGATGTAGAGGACGAGGGCGAAGATGCACCACCGACAACAGACGAAGAGGGTGGATAAAATATAATATACTATTAAATCAAAATCGAAAAGTTCCTTTTTTGCACTATATAGAAGTGATATTTTTATATGTATAAGTTTGTCTTTCTTCTTTCTGTTCTTTCTTATAATTTAATATGATTTGGAAAAAATAAAAATAATTATGAGAGTCTATTTTTCTATACTATATTAGAAAATATCCAAGGAAACGTTCTTGCGCGTTCTATGTAAGTTTTGTTTGCCTTTAAATATCCTTGTAAGAGCAACAATAATAAGAAAGATTTTTTTTATATTATACTGTTGTCATGGTTGTCAAAGCTTGGCCAACTAGAAGTGTTTGTTTTCGTAACGAATTATTTGGTGTATCTTCGTATAAGATTTTATTAAGTATTTGATGGAGGAAGCTAAATTGTGTAATAATGTTTGCCAAATTAAAGTTCCAAAAGGCTTACAGGAGCTAATGTCTGATATATCTAGAGAGGTAATTAAGTTCTAATTTTTTTTTGCGAAAATTATTGATATTTTTAAAAAATTAAAAAATTGTCTTGTATGATTCGAACCTACAGATACCCACAGAGTTCCGTACTGTGGTTTTTGTAAACTGAGGTTCTTTCTCGGTGTTGTACCACAGTACGCTGTAGTTTAATTTAATATACGAAGCAACCATATGGAAAATAAAATTGTTTCGAGCATTTATATATTATGTTGGAATGTTTGCAATTCCTTTAATTATTTAATTATTAATTACCTATATGGAATCTAATAAATACTTACTACTTATTCGTCTTTTTCTAAAGCAATTTAAGACGTAGCTACCAAATTCAAATATAAAATTTTTGGTGGGGGTTCTTCATATTTCTTAGCCCGTCCTACTAATTCTAAAAAAAGTTTTGAGAGCACGCTTGCGCTGGTCTTGTTTGCTAGACTAAACGTGCACATAGAGCGGCATTGCCCTTGACGGGGACTACCACAATGTCGGTAGGAAGTTGAGGAACTGATGGGATGTTAATCCGAGAGAGGGATACGGGAATAAAAACCTCACGTTAAAAAGATTTCTACTGCTTTTGTTCAAACGTTGTCGGGGTCGTTTTGGTGCAGTAGGTACCGTTTCATAATTCTGTGATCGATATTAATAACAGGCAAGTAGTTTATGAGACTTCTGTGCCTACTCCAAAATAATTGAAGTATTGATTCGCTCAGGATTCCAGGCAATTTCACGGATAAGTATTTAATATATTATTTTATCATTCTGTCCGCAGGTGCTAAGAGCTCAACCCAAAAACGTCTACAGTTTTATAGCTAACTACCTCCATGCTCTACTCGAAGTACGTGATAACATATACATTGCTGATGAAGTTTGCAACGATATTGTCGAAAGTTCCTATCAGCCAAAGGCGATTGAGGAATTCAGAAACAGTCTCATTAAAGAAGACAGTATTGAGAACAAAGAAATTATGGAGATTTTTTCTCAAAGCAGTACAGGTAGGTAGTCAAGAGTAGCACATGATGTCACTATAGGAATTAAAATAGACTATAAATTGAAAAAAATTACGACTCAGGCGGGACTTGAAGTATTATCGTCAACGTTCCGTACTCTAACCAATTCAGCTACCGAGTGTGATTTTTCAATTTATAAGTTTTATAAGCCATGGTATAGGTTTTTAATTAACAAGTTCCTCTCTCAAGACTTCGTCTTGGGATTAATACATTAACATTTGAAATATAAAGTGTAGGTAAGGAACCAAAATAAAACTAAAATGTGTCGAGTTCTTAAGCTACTGCCCCACCACTTCGCCTCGGGTAACTGTCACGAACGCCCAATGTAATTAGTAAATGCTGATCTACATTCAGAATTTCAAAGTGATGATGGAACACGATGCTTTACCCGACCGAAAAAAATTATTGTTTGCCTGGGCCTCAAACCCATCTTCGGGGATGGTAGGGCCAAAGTTAAAGTAGCGAACATGGAATTGAAGAGGTATATTCATACGTTCGACTATAACTATGTTTCCTAAGATTTGAACCCGTAACATCTTGCACTTATACAAGGTTCAGCAATTTAACTACAAAGGCGGTCAATACGTCATCAATATATTTTATGTCATTATATTCTAGATGACAACGTATCTTCAACTTCCCTAGCCGGTTCATACGTCACTTTACCTCGTCATACACCTTATTCTGCGCACCAGGATACCCTGTCCAGTATATCAGAAAGGAACAGACGACTGGGCGAGTGAAGAAACTCTCGCGCACCGTACAAAAGTTATGAAAGATATACGATTTCAAACGGATGTTATAGAATATTTTACTCATGAACGTTGTTCTACCACTGATACAGAATCTAGTTTCTAGATTACGACTAACTTTTGGTTTCATTCATTCAAAGTTACACTTAACAATTATGTTAATGGTATGATTGTTATAGCTATATGCATTTTTGTACTTTTGTATTTTAATTTACTTATTCGTTTCATAATTGCCTTATTTTTTAATATATTTAGTACAAGCTTTGATAATGCGAATTTAGTATTTTTCTAAATAGTATAAATATTAATTTATCATATCTTAATTTGATAGAAACACATATTTTCTAATTAAAGTTTATTATGCTTAAAAAATTGTGTACTTATTTCTAATCGTCGGGAGTTTTATACATTTTTTGGTTTACCGTACAAAATCTTACAACTAAAATAAAGGTATGGTAGGAGTGTTGAAAAAACGTGTGCAACTTTAAAATTGAACAATTTTAAGAAAAGCATGGTTCACGTGAAAGTGATTTATTTGCCATGACGATTGTCGGTCCGACCAGCAACTTGTAAGGCGAACTTCTCATTCAAATTTTGGTTTGGCTCGTTATTCGCGACGCCGGTCGCTTCGCGAGAATTATCGCATGCGCGAATGTTTCGTGGTCAGCGCGTTACATTATATTTTTGTATACGTAACACTACCTCTTTAAAGCGATACTTATTATTTAATGTCATGTATATGATATAAACTAACGTATGTACCTAAGCATTATTTTATTTAGATTAAAAACTTAAAATCACAGCAGGAAGCTTTAAGACTTATAGAATTATAGGTATAATACATATTGAACAGGAAGAAATACATTTTTTATTGATATCATCGATAGCACCTACTGTGTTCTCGATTGTAAATAGATTAGAACGCAAGCTGCCCCACTCGCTATCATAGATAACATAAAAATCATTATAAAATTCAAATACTAACAAATCCATATTTCTTTTAGTAAGCGAAGAAAGTCATACAAATGATTTATAGTAAGAAATATTACAGACATTTTGAGCGCACTGCATTATTGAATAATAAAATAGGTAACAATGTTAAAAACAGACATAACAATAAAATATTAAAACTAAGAATATTTAACGAAATAAAATATAATTATTTATTGTTCGATGGAATTTAACAAAGTAACAAATATATACAATAAAATTACTTACAACTATAAAGCATGTATAACGTGGAAATACTTAAACATATAGGTACTTGATTTGACTTTCAGTGCTGACAATTTTAAAAGATAGCTATGTCTACATCATCGAATATTGTTACAGAGTAATGTTGAAAATCCCACTTTTAACTATACATAAGGTAAGTATATCAGTTCCTTAGAGTAAGAATCTTCATTTTTTAACAATCATTACTTATTCCAGGGAACTGAAATACTAATGCAATGGGATCACAATATAATCTTGTCGTATCAATCTATGGGTTACAAAATTGTGTAAGAGATCCTATTATTCATAAACTTTGGTACATTCCAATTGTGCGTTATCTCCTAAATTTAACATTTATCTAAATAGTAATTGTAAAATAGATCAAAATTTCATCGTAAAAGGGCGACTAAATTTTCCTAAAAGTTGAGTTTTAAGCATCAGTCTGATATCTTAAATTGTGTCCACTCCACCTCCCATTAATCGATTCCCATATTCACTGAGTAACTGTAAAGAAAATGCGATTTTAGAAAAGCTTAACGCCTTGCGTGAAAAATTATCAATGGTTGAACAATTTATAGTCGGCGTTTACAGCAGTAATTGCGCAAAGTTTTTTGGTAGGCGTTTTTTTTTATTCGTGCTTAGGATAAAAAATAATATATCGGAACGAGATTGCAAATGGACTATAAAATTATATTTTTTACGGGGGGGGAAAACCCCCCCCAAAAAAAAAAAAAAAAAATTTTGGGGGGGGGGGGGGGGGGGGCCCAAAAAACAAGGGTTTGGGTTTCTTTTCCCTCCTGTGTCGTTAATTTTTTCAAACACTAACAAAGTTTGAAGTAAAAATATGTTAACTAACCTTGTAAAGGAAGATATAGTGATGTCTGTTGGAGATGGAGTGAGGTCGCTGCGTGCGCAGCGCTCGCACCGCCCGCGGTAAGTCCGCTGAACCTGCAGCAAGTGCTCGCGAACAAATGTCTGCTGCAATCAGCGCTGCTGATCGTCCCGCACCGGATGCACACACAACCACACACGGACGCACACCTTTAGAAAAGGGATTAATTATTAATACCTGAATAATTAATTTCTAATTCACGAATGCTACGGTTTCATTAGCTTGTTTTAGAAGTAATTAAAATCGCAAAATATACAGAGGATTGTAAAAGAAGGAATAAAATGGCGGTTTCCTGTATTCTAGCAAAACATGGAGTAAATTAAACTGTTTAGAATTACTAATATACTAATAGCTATCGAGTTAGAATGTCCATAAGTGAGTGTATCGTTTGACTTTTATTAACTCCCTTTATCTATAAATTTTAACCATACTTAATTTTTAAGAAAATTTTAACTAACATACTAACACAGTGGACCTGTGAATGTCTGAATTGAAAGGTTTTATTAAGGCAAAGCTCTAGATACTATTATGCAGAGATAGATAATGTGATGTAGATATGTAGTCATATATTACCTTCTATTTCTGACGCTGTCTTCATGCGTCCCAGTGTACCATTAGTAGCATAACCCCTTCGCAGTAACTCTTCAGCCTTTGCCGGTGAATAAACATTCATGCCATTTCCAGAACTGTTTTCATCACTCCTGAGCTTCGATAGGTTGTTGTATGAGGATCTGTTCTGGTCTTCGTAGATCACTTCCAAGCCTGGAGTGTTAGAATCAAGAGTTAAGAGTTGAGTAGATCTCTATAGCGTCAAATTAAATTAAAATAAAATATTTTTTACTATAAAATATTTTAGCACATAAATCTATGAAAGAACAATGGCCAAAATCGTATAGATACTGGACCGGACTAAAATTTTTCGCGATCAGTCACAAACCATAAAGGGTTTGATTTACTTTGATGAATTAAATACCGCACTATACAAAAAGATTAAAAAAAAGACAAATTTTATAATTGCTCTTTACACATAAAAAGCCAAATATGTATAAATAATAATTGCATATTGGACGTACTTAACGATAAATTCGGTATGCGAAATCTATCGATACTTTCTGAACAAACGTTATTTAAAAATATCATTTTTGAAAAAAAAAAACTTGTTTTCCTAGCTTTATACTGAGTTATTATTAATATTTCCTAGAATAAAAAAATAATAGATTTTTCGAAATATAACACATATGTGGTCGCCGTTAGGTACAGTGGTAGTAAAGAACAATGGCCGCCTTTTGGTCATTGTTCTTAACTACTTCTTCGGGTACTAGCTTAGATGGTTTCAAATTCAATAACCAACCTTCTTCATCATATTCCTTAGCTGTCTGCGACATCTTCATGTAACTCCTCATTTCAGATAGGAAATCTATTACGGATTCATAATCGTCCGGCACGCCCTTGGCCGGCCAGAAGTACCAGAGGTGTGTGACTTCTCTCCAGGTCCTGGTGGACAAGTTGATGAGTTGAACGCACGAAATGGCATATTTGTCACGCTGTTCCCGTTTCTTGAGGATAATCTGGTACTCGCCGAAGGTCCGTCGGTTGTCTGATATCTCGGAAGGTGGAAGATATTCATAGCATTTTTCCTGGAAATCATTGTTTCACGCATAATTACAGAACTTACGTGACCACAAAATTGAAATTTAAAATTATAATTCGAATTTTGTAACTGTAGTCTACGCGAGTGATAAACAATAAACAAAACACGTTTAATTATTTTAAAATATTTAAACGTTAAAATAATGTTAAAAACGAATATAATTTGTGTCTTAAACCGTTAAAATTGTGTATTTATAATAGGTAATATCATAATGGAAAGATATTAGATAAATACAATTTTAGATAATAATATAGTTAAATACTGTCTGTACGCGAGTAGTACACATTTAAATAAAACACTTTAACGGTTTAAAACGCGATATATTAGTTAAACTTATTTTAAAATTATTTTAAGCTAACATATCGCGTTTTAAACAGTTAAAGTGTTTCATTTAAATAATATAGTTCTTGGCATATTTATTTCAAACTCGTAAAGGATACTTACAACACCGTTCTCCATGTATTCTGTGAGCATGACAACAAGCCGCGAGTTTTGTTCCCATATCATGCGCCAGAAGTCTACAACGGTGTTGGAGAGAGGGGCCTGGCACGCGATGTAGTAGTTTTTGATGTTACCTGGGCCCTGAGCAATTAAGAATTAAACAATTATTTTAAATGCCACATTCTTCTTTTTAGAGTTTGTCCGATTTCTGTGGTGAGTAGGCAAATTACGGAGGGGGAATTATATTTTAGTAGAATTTAGTAATATATATTGTCTCAGCCACTAGGTGCAACACTTTTGGTAAACATTTTCGTTTCTAAAAAAAAATCAATGACCTTAGCGGGAGTCGAACCACAGTCAAAAGCTTATAGTTCGTATAGAAGATCTATGAAAAGAAAGTTATATCATACCGTAATATAATTAGCATTGATGTACTCAGTGGTGGAATCGTTTCCTATTCTCTTGAGTGGCACCCTTGTTTCTGGCAGAGGCAGTACGTTGGAATAGCGATTCTTGTCCTCGCAGCCTGGAGGCACCTCCTCTGGCCTCACGGTCACTGAGGGGATCTCCGAGAACTCCGCTGTTATCGAGTCCATGTCCAGAGCAAAGTTGGCTAGCGCTGCATAATTCATTGGGTGGGATGTCACCTGGAAAACACAGTAGGTGTGGTTAAAAAGGGCTTTTTTTATCATAGAGGAGGACAGAACAAGACACATCTTAGACACTATCTTGAACCATTTTCGCAGTGCAAACAACGGAAACGCTCAAAGATGAATAATTTTCACCGTTTCTGCCTCATTTTGCACCGTGTCTTCGCTCCAATTGTAATGTTTTATAGCTCGATAAATACTCTAAGGAATAAGATTTTTTCATTTCGAACCAGTAGTTCCTGAGATTAGCGCGTTCAAACAAACAAACTCTTCAGCTTTATAATATTAAGTATAAATTTAAAAGCTTAAAAAAATATTTCACCAAATATACCTCATCGTCGTAAGCTGGATTGCCGTAGCTGCGCTTACTCGCTCGTAGCCTCTGGTTGCCCTTCCGATGACCAACGCTGACGCTGTCCAGACTATAAGCATCCAAAGAAACAGGAGTACAGCGCTGCGCGTACACACCGCGGCGCCCTCGTCTGCGCACTACCACCTGAATAATTCAATTCAACCAATTCTAAGTAAAAAGCAAACATACGAAAATGTTCATGTTGTTTTTATTTAAATAATACACTTTTAACGGGTTAAAAAGCGAAATGTATAAATTAAACTAATTTACAAATTAATGATCAAAGCTTCTGCAAAGCACCCGAAAGGTCGTAGTTAGAATACATGTAAATTAGTTACAGGCAATTCGCGTTTTAAAGCGTTAAAAGTGTTTTATTTAAACTTGTACTATTTGCCGTAAACTCTATAGTTTAGAAGTATCCATAGACTACTTAGTGCTAACAGTGAAACACAATGTTATATAATTTATAAAGATACAATTTTAGGAGTATTAAAAAAATTTCAAAAGAAGAGATGTATTTACATTATATTGTTCCCTTTCATTTAAAGATGCTGTTTTTGTATAATCATAAAAACCTATTACACTTTCTATATACTACATAAGGTGTTTAAATATCACATTTTAATTGCGATATTATAATCTGTGTTCACTGGAATGCCTAGGTAAGGCATTTGAAACCTACAGTTAAAGAGAGGAAGTCGATAAGACAATTCCGAGAAACAGTAACGGTTGCAGACGTCGCGCATATCACCTTTGATAAATCGTCTAAACATTTATAAACAATAATATTACACTTAGGATATCAAAGATATTTTTATTCAAGCATTTCGCTGATTTAAATTCACATACTCATAGATATAAACCACAGGATTGGAACCTAAAACGTATCCAGTTCACGACGGGAATAAATAGATAGTTTTTATATCGATAAGTTACATAATATTGAGAATGACTGTATGGGGTTATTTAAATAAAACACTTTAACGGTTTAAAACGCGATATATTAGTTAAACTTATTTAAAAAATGATTTTTAACTTCGGCCCGACGTTTCGGATGCTTTGCATTAGCCGTGGTCACGGGGAGACGGGTGTATGGGGTTAATCGAATTTTGAAAAAAATACGACTCGGGCAGGTCTTGAACCGGCATCCACGTCATTCCGTGCAGTTGCTCTAACCAATTGAACTATCATGTCCCACCGTACCGTACCCCGTCATCGTCGAATTTTTTAACCTATCGATCATTCCAAAATTTAATTTATAAGTAGAATTTTCTTATCACTTTTAAAAATGTGAATAGTGTCACATTTTATGCTAATGACAAAGTTGCTGACACACTTGAATACAATAAATCGATAAAGTGACGAAATTTCAAGGGCCTACTTGAGCTTACAAAGTTTATAATTATTACGAGATGCGCGTTTCCATTGTCGAAGATTTCAACGGGATTTCATGTTTTGAAAGTCGAGGAAGAGGTCTTATCTCCCACCTACGTAATATTCTAAAACCAATTATGGTTTTAAATAGAAGAGCCCGACAAGATTGTTTTTGAAGGCGATTTACAAATATTATTTGTGTTTAATGTTTGATTATAGGTACACTACTGGTACTGAATATAGGTACTTTACGGTACGCAAATATAGGCTATATTTACGTGCCTTCTATTTGACATTTTTTAAAGTGAAATTAAACTCCTTACCTTGGAAGTCTGGCCAACTACTTATCCGTCTTCATCGGTCATATTAAAAAATAATTAAATTTTTACAACGGTGTCGTTAGTTAAAGGAACTTATAAAAGTTCGTCATCATCATGAACTTTGTTTATAATTTATATTTTTAAAACATCCTCTAGTGAGCGATATGGCACCTTTGGATTTGAGTGCCCACCGTGTATGGCTACGAAAAAGAATTTTTTATGTATAAATTTTATTTAAAACAAATTTATACATAAAAATTATCTTAATTCTAAAATAATTATCGTATTAATGAACATGTAATCCTATTTAAAAAATCAATGCTTTAAACCTCGACCAAATAAGTTGCCAAAAAAAATTCAGTATCCAAATTAATTTATAAATTTGTTTTAAAAAGATATACGATATTATTTAATTAATTTATAGTTATCATTTTTTGAATTATGTCGAACTTCGGCTGGAAATCTGGATATTAAATAAGTGGTAGGAATACTCCGTTTTGATTCCAGTCTGTAAATTTCCGAATATACAAGCCAAAACAGGCCGACTTGAGATGTTACTTCATTAGTATTTCACTTTCCATCAACTGAACCCGACGCTCGTCTTTCTTTCTATCATAAAGAAAAAAGAAAACTAACCCATGGATTCTAGTTTAATTCTAGGACTTAGGAGACATCACACATTAGAGGATATTGTTCAATCATTTGTTGTTTGGTTCTCAATACGGTATTATTTATTATTACTATGCTTATACTTATAATTACTGCTATAACTACAACAAGGTTGTTTTAACAAATTCTAATCTAAAATATAAATTAATCATATATTTTTCTTGTTTTGTTATCTTACTTTTTAGTAGCCATACACTACACAGATTAGTTCCCTAGACCCTACGGGCCTCGGGACACATCGTCCTACGTTCATACCGTCTCTGGATGTCCTCCGACGCACGCGCATCCAATATTTAAAAACTCATAAATATTTCAAATAACAATTGTACATTCAATGACGTTTAAATTATTTTGGAGTTAACATATTTATAGTTAATTTTTTAAACTGTGATATAGTGAAAACATTGTGGTAAGAAAATTTCATTTTAGTTGAATTTTTATTATATTTTTGGGAGATCTTTTTAACAGATTGTTATTTTATGTACGTACTTATGTGTTTAGTACAAGTATTTCATTTTGACTCGATAGTCATAATTCCATAAAAGTGAAAAACATACTTTAAATATTTTTTACTCTTATAAAATTTACTCTAACATAATTAAAACTATAAAAATATAAGTAACGTATATGCATTTCTTATGTAACAGTTTTAGGTACGTAAAATAAAATATTAGTAATTTCTCTTGTCGGGGTCAAGTTTGTATTTTAACAAAATATAATAAATAATGCTTCGTTGGTAGTCGAATTTCTGTATTTGGAATTATCATCCCCTTAAATATCCAAAACACGTTATAGTTAGTATGACTATTTTAGCAATGAAGTGAACCAACAATAGAATAGAGTGGTGGGTCAAATAATCAAATTGTTAAATAAGGCGCTTATTTCTCGACTCCGGATATTAACATCTGCAGATACTCGTAATTTGCTATGTTAGGCGCTATTATACTTTCTCAACATTATTTTAAAACTTAAAAAAAATAAAAACATATTCCAGATATTTTACTTTTTAAACACGGCTTAATAACAACTAATTTCTCTAATTCTCTAATACAGCCGATACAGCAGATGACTTTACCTATAAAGCTGAACATAGATATCTATTGATTTTTACAACGAAACCATAATGATTTTGTTTTATTAGATGATAGCATACATCTCACTCATAAATATGCAATTTTTTTCTCATATTAGTGACACTCAGTGTTAAATTTGGTGTCAAAGTGATTTGATAAAAGAGAAAACTGTTAAGTTTTGTCTTTTGCTTCACCAAATATTATATTTGTTATTGTAAATATTAATACATTCAACCGCGCATACCACACTGTAAGTTAATTTAAAGTTATATTAAATTTGTAGCTATACACAAAAGTTAACGGATACCGTGGACAGTAATAGACTAATAAAAATTCCGTGCAACCTAACTCTGACATCGAATGCTTCTTATCGCTACCAAGAATGGTTCATGTTGGCGAATAATTTGTAACGTGATGATAAAGTACGTGGGTCTTTTTTGGTTCTCAGACCTAAAAGGGCCTATTACTAGACTAGTCTAGATAGACTACGATGTCAGTAGTTAGTAAAGAAATGGAAGTATAGACACATAAATATTTAGTTTATTATTCATTTTAATCTCGATTCAATCACATTTTTTTATGCTGTTGCCTTCAATTAATTTATTTTGTAGCGGGACTCTAATTATAGGAACTTCTGTTTTTTAACATTTTTTATAAACTTTGCTTTTTCGTTGATAGATTTTAGTCAATAAAATAAACTTGGTTATTTAAGGATATAATTAAATAGTAATATTACAGTTAAAACTCCAGTTTAGCCCCACTTATTTCTGGTCTCTTCAAAGGACATTAAAATCTCAAAAGTAATTTCTACTTTAATAAATTTCAGGTGGTAAACCGGGTCTGCGAGTGACAACAGGACAAAACGTAGCTTACAACATCTAGGTAAGGTAAGTAAATATATTTAAATTAGTACATCGATTAGTAATATAAAATTTAAAAATGTTTATATTTTATTTAGAAACATGAAGTATTCAAACAAAATATTTTCCGTATCATTTTTTCTTATGTACCCTTTACCTAATTTACAGTCTTATTAAAATAACGCAACTCTTTCAGTATGAGCAGAAATCGTTCAAGCAAATTCTGCAACGTTTTCCAAAGTAGTGAACATAATTTATCGTGAGTTTATAGATATTATGCACATTACTTTGGATATGTTGTATGAACTCTCGTCTTTGAAAACGCCTGAACGACTGAAAATTTCTGGGAGACCAAACAACGACCAAATTGAACCAGGAAAAACAGGATTATTTACTAAGTTTATTTATTAAGCGTTTGTTTTGTGTGTCTTACGTTATTTTGCGATATTTCATTTGTTATGAATATCTAATAATTATAATTCTATTTATTAATTATTACCTTTAAATTTTTAAAGTTAGTTCTAACGAATATTTTTTTAATTAGTTTAATTTTATTGATTATCATTATTACACATAGAAACTTACCAATAAGCCAATTAGAAGGACCAGCGCGATGACGCCAATTGTACTAACAGCAATAGCTATGGCTGCCCCGGAACCAGCCTCCTCTAGAACCCTCGAAGACGCTTCGGTGGTCATCTCTCCACCATAGCTAGTTAGATCCTCCAAATCATTCACTGTTTTCGAAGTATCATCGGTAGATTCGGTAGTTATTTCTTGTATTAATTCTTTTGTAGTTACATCTGGAATTTCTGTTTGTTTAACCTCTTCGGTAGTGATAATTTCTTCTATTTTTTCAGTTGTCGTTTCAACAATTGTTGTTGTGTCCGTAGTTACCGGTGATTTTGCATTTTGTGTTATGACCTCATTATAATCAATGTTCTCTTGTGATGGTTTTTGCGTTTCAGTTGCAAGTTCAGAGGATGTTACCATTGAAACTTCAGTAACATCGGTAGTATCAGTGTTTATTTCTGTAGCTATGGTAACTACTATACTTGTAGTTTCCACTGTAGTAGGATCTTCTTGTGTGGTTGTTTTTATTAGTTCCGTTGTTGGTTTTATTGTTGTTGTTGTTGTCGTCGATGATGATGATGATAATGTTGTAACAGGCAATTCGGTTGTCACCGTCTCTTTTATTGGATCTGTTGTGATGTTCTTGGTAATTTCAGCTGTAGTTGTTTTCGACTCCTCCTCAGTGCTTTGTTCGATAGTTTGTGTAGAAACTTCAGCTTGAACTGTAGTGTCATAATCAGTTGTCTTCTCGACATCATTTGTTGTTGAGTAGTACTTAGGTCGATATGTAGTAATCGGGACATCTTCTATCGTTGTTGTAGGTTTAGAGCGGAGTGGTCCTGCATAATACCAATCGGTAGTAGGTTCATTTTCCACATTATCAAGTACTTTTTCTGTCGGTACATACGAGAATCTTATTGTAGTAATTTCATAGTCTGTTGATGTCACTTTTGAAGGGTCAGTTGCGATTTCGTTTTGCTCATCAGGATCAGTGATGGTGTCATCAGACGGTGTAGTCATGTCAGCAGGTAATTTTGTAATCGATTCGAATCCCGTTGATTTTGTCGGCTGTGCTGATGGAAGTGCTGTGTCTTTTGAAGTTTTCTTATTTGTATCAGTTAGTAAAGAGTTGCCAAATTGGACGGTTGAAGCTACCCAAGATGATTGCGATTCATCAATTTCTCCTTTATCAGATGGCGCATTTGTATCTATATGCTTATAAGAAGAAACTTCTTCTCTACTTTGCAAAGACACTTTACTTTCAGCTGGAATTGTTTCTGATATGTTTTCTTTTCTCACACTTTCAGATGTTAATGTTGAAGATAAAAAGGGTTTCCAGGGTAGTTTATTTTGAATTATTTCAGTTATGTTCTTTGAAATATAATCTTGATTTGGTATAGTAGAGGAAGTGATTGTAGTTGAACTTGTCGTGGCGTGTTTCTTTTCTGAAATTATATTTAATTTAATATAAATTTTCGTCTTTAAGCAAAATGTATTAGTTAATTTATTTACAAAACAAAATATTTACATACCAACTATTTCTCCCACGTTTTGAAGCTCATTTTCATCATCATTTTTAGGCATTGAACTTGTTCCATTTCCAGATTTGCCTAGTGGCGGCGGACTTCTTAAGCTCGCTAGAGCCCATGCAGTAAGGGTAGGAGGTATTTCTAAATCACTCGTGCTAGTTGCTATAGTCGATGGCACTTCTGTTGTTGTAGTTGTGGTGGTTGTTGAAGTCGTTGTTGTTGACGTTGAAGAAATAGCAGAATATTTTGTTGAACCTCTTTTCCAAAGTGATGGAATTGTGTTATCAACGAAGGAATGCGAGTGTACGACTCTTTTACCTGTGTCAGATTCAAAGTCACTTTGAACGACAGGATCAATATCTGAAGACGACGTTGTAAGTACTTTAGACAAAGGCGTAGGTTCTTGGGTAGAATATTTATTTTTTATATCAAAGTGCTCGGAATATATAGTGATGGGTGGTCGAGTTTGCAAAACCTTCGTCGTATTGCGCCTCGGTGCCATCCATACTGGTTTTATCTTGGGCGTCGTGTAATGAAACCTCCGAGTATTCTGCCTGTATACAAGATTTGGTGACACTTGATCACGTTGTGTAACAACGTTATTTGCAGTTTCTTTCATTCCTGTTAGATTTAGACGTTTTGAATAGTTACGATTTCTATTAGTGCTAATAAAAGAAGTTTTTGGCTTCTCACTAGTCGACATTGTGGTTAGAGGAGTTGGCTTTTCACTGGCAAAAATTGAATTTTGAAATGATAGAGGCACTAGACTACCTGTGTTTAAAGTAGAGGGAGGTATAGTGCCCGATAAAAAGTATGACGCAATAGTAGAGCCAATTTCATTATCATGTCGCTGTATTGACGGCGTCGAAATTTCCACCAGAGGTAGCTGTGTTGCAGCTATCGATGCTAATTCTTCCTTTAAGGGAGTACTTTGTGTAGTTTCCGATGGTGATGTATCGTTGTCACAGTCATCATCTTCACTATCGTCTGTAATATTATATGATTCTGTAGATAGAACAGACATTTCATAGTATATACTAGTCCCATGTACATCGGATAGACCTTTCGTATCTGTTCCAGCAGAGTCGTTATCCATTAGGTGTATCTCTTTGGTATTTTTTATTATAAGCCTAGTTTTGTTACTTGGAGTATCATTACTTAGCTTCTCAACAAATGTTTGGACGTTAGTTGCATTTGGCGGTGGTGAAATTTTTGCTTTAATTGAGTCTAAGTTTTTCACAATGCTCGATGATACTTCATGATATTTTTTGTCGAAGAAATCACTTCGAGGAGTAGTTAGCTCAGTGTCAAAATCGAAGAAACTGTCAGATTTATATGGATCATCATGAGTATTATATGTTTTTTCTGGGTAGCTTGAGAAATCCTCAAAACTTAATGTGTAGTCTCTAATTCGTTCCTTACTCGTCGAACGTTGTTTTTGCTTTTTAATTAAATCGCCCTCACCATAGGTCGGGAAGGTATAAAAACTGGTATCACTAAATTTACTAGAAGTATACCGTTCATACGAGTCAATTTCCCCATTTTGGTCGCGATCCTCAACTTCTGACTCCGTTTTAGATGCGATAGATTCAGTAGTACTCGAGAAAGGTAGCTTTGTTTTTTTATAGTTGTGCATACTATCTATAATCTCCAAAGGTTTTTTTACTTCTGGTGTTGGAGTTACTATAACTAAATTCGACGCCACAGTAGAAGGTCTGCGTCTTAAGGAACTTTGAGTTGACGACTTAGACTGTATGTTAAACTTAACCCTTCCCCTGTCTTTATATTTAGCGTTTTTCTCTGTATTTTCTTCTGATGATGCATCCTTGTGGAGTTCGTTGAGAGCTACGTTGGGCAATTTGGATCTGTTTCGTGAGACCCATGTCGTGTTAGTACTTATTTTGTCATCATTTGGTGCAGGTGTCGTCTCGTGATTCAGTGTGTGACCTCTCACATTTGTGCTGCTTAAAAGTAGTATATTAACTACTAACGCTGCACCTGAAACAGTTTCACAAAAGCAGATTTAAATACATGCATATGCTAACTTAGCTTTAATTTAAGAAAAGTGTACGACTAAAACCGACTACTAATTATTTTATTTCCGTTATCTTTAAATTTAGACTGGCTCATTGGTGTAATAGTAGCAAGGTATCACCGGGTCGTGGGTTCGAACCCTACCAGGTACATGTTTCTAATAAGTTTATAATTTTTGCTGAAACATGTTGGAATGGAATGAAATGGTAAGAATAGTAGGAATACTGAAATTTCGGAAGGCCCGCAAATGAAAAATCCGTGAAATTTAGTCACGTTTAAGTTTTAGTCTGTGGATTTTCGATTAAGCCAAAACAAGTCGACAGCGCACCTCCTTTAGATGCTTGTTTGTCCTCCTCTATCATTGAAAATAGTTAGCTATTTTGCTTTAAATAGGGTTTATTCAATATGTTAGCTGTTTTTTGTTATTTAACTCAAAATTCACTATACCTAAAATTATTCTAACTGGAGATTCCATGATCAGAAAATCGGCATTGTGGTCATTCAATAGAGAACATGTTTAGGTTTTGCTATCTGCTGTTGTCGTTGTCATGATTCCTGAAAAATAAAATAAAAACATTTTACATTTTACTAGTCTTATGAATAAAATATATAACATACATTCTGCTTTGACTTTAAGCTTATGCTATAGATTCTTATGACCTGTTTTTACTGAAGTTTTTTTTTAAATGTTCTAAAAGTTAGTGCTAAAGAGTTCTTTGACCTGCTTTACTGAATGTAAGTTAGTTCCTGATGTGAAAATAATGTCTAACGAGCACACAAAACCACGAATTATCACAGCTACCATCTATCACATTTAGGAAAATCGGACTTTAATTTCGTTTTCTATATCAGGTCAAAGCAAAGCTATATTATGCTATGTATGCTTGATGTTTAGCCTTTGCAGTATGTTCTTAAAATGTCACATATATACTAGATCTTAACGTGTACTAATACGCTAATATTGTTAAATAGTGCTTCCTCGAATTAGTAGTTAGTCATTTTGTTAGCAGTAGTGTTATTATTAACATTCAGCTCTGATGTGGATAATAAAATTAAAAATAATTGAGATTTATGTTTCGTAATTAAGCCAAATTTTAAGCAGACGGTTGGTTTCTTTAGGCACATGCGGAGCTACACATTAAATTGTTAGTTAGTTCACTGATTACTCAGAAACGAATAGACGGTTTTGGTAATATTCTTTTGACTTTAACAAATGATAATAAATATTTGTTTAGACAAAGGTGATTCGTTAAGCGTCTTCGTTCCTTAGCTAAAATTAATCAAGTTCAAATCTTGTATGACGTAAACATAAAATCTGCAAATGAAATTCGGGTGTGCGAATTAGCCGTAGCATTAACAAGGTATACAAATTTCAAATAATAAATCTATGTAAATCTGTAAAAAAATCTGTTTAAAGATACAGTCTGTTGATAGAACACACAGACAGAAAAATCTTGTTAATCAGGCAGGACTTGAACTGGCATCCATATCGTTCCGTGCTGTTGCTCTAACCAATTGAGGTAAAGAATCGTCAACGATTTTTCAATTATATACAGCCATCGTGTGCAGTAACATGTGAAAATATTAAAGTTTTTAATAGAATTCCTTTTCCCCTTAGGATGCGGAATCGTAAAAATAGTCGCTCAAGAGCCGTTCACAAATGTAATAAACCGTGACCTTTCCAATCTAGGAACAGATCTGAATTAGTCACGAGGACGTTTTGTTTATCTCAATACTCCATGTACGAGGAATAAGTACTGGTGACAAACCCTGTAATGTTTTTAGATTATTTTTTAAGTTAGCACTTACCAAAGTTACACTAATGCAGGTACTAACTTAAAACATGTTTATTTGTATATCTTATAAATTAAATTTTATATTTCAATATAACATAGTATAAATGGATGTGAATGATAAAATCGTGACAATATGCATTTGCAGTTATCTGAACATCAGAGGTTTTAGTGATGTGTAACTTATTTCATCGTTACGTAGATACGAGTAAGGTGAGAGTTTACTCTCGTGTTTACGCAGCACTTCAATAACGCCATTTAACTGTTTAAAACGCGAAATTTATTTGTTAATTTATTTTATATTGTATAGTTTGTTATGCATCCGAAACGCCAATGCACAGTTAAATACATTAACAAACATAATGCTTTTAAATTTCCAACACATAAAAACATACATTACCTACAAATGTTCCATTATAAATAAAAATGTTTTGCAGGTTTCTTAAGAGTCTTAAGTTCTAAAAAGATAGGTGCAGCACTAGATAGAATAAAATTATAGTGAACGAGATGGGAATGTTAACGAGCCCTGCAGTGTATGTTGGTCTGTACAGACGCGTAGAAAAGCCATACACGATAGTTTGATGATCATATAATAAATAATATGAAATTATTAAACCATGTATTAAATTGTAATGAAAAATAAATGAGAATTGAAATGACTGAATGCTATGACACCTAACCTAACATTATTGTAATATAAATACTTTATTTATTTTTATAATTGCTTTACAAAGTCCTATTAAAAATAATTTGTTAGTTATATAGTAAATATTTAGTTAACCATGACACAGAACTTATTAAAGTTCCTGTAACTAGGTTGCTAGAAATATTTACAATGTCATAAATTAGTGATTGTCCATTATATATTTTTTAAATTTAATTTAACTAATTTCTGAATTTGACTGTACCTTCGTATACAAAGCACGACTCACGAGTACAGTGGTATACTGATGCAAGCGACCAGCTTACGAAACATTTAGCAATCATTAAAGGTTAGCTTATTTAATATCCTGGAGCTTGTATGTCGCTCATTGACCAAAGAATTATATTTAATAATGCGCATACAATTATTAATTATTATATAAGAATATAATAGTTTCCCTTAGGATAACTATAGACACATTATACAGACTACTGCACTAAAGTACTAATTCTGTAGAATCACAGCAGACAGACAGGTCTAACTTTTTTCATTTTCTTATTTTGACGAATCTAAATATTTTTTTTTAAATTTAATGAGAATAAAGTACCTATGTTTTATTATTATTTTTAAAGGTAGACATAAATCAATGAAAAAAAAAACCCAAAAATTTGAACAACATAAGAAAAACTAATTTTCACTTAACTATTGTCTTCTAAATGATTATTCTAGCTCTCTAAAAATTTGGAGTTTATTACTTTTTTACAGGGATAAATATTAATACATATACCATGAGTAACAGTAGACCCGTTTCAATTTTTCATCTCGCATCTAAACAACATAATTTTAATAGATATGTGCCGAGTGTTTTTAGGAAACCGAACATTTGGTTCTAAAGCAAGACCTAAAAAACTAAAATAGGAATTCGCATTAATAAAATTATACTTTAATAATTCTTTTTAAATAAAACACATAATTAATAAAATAAAATAATAAAAAACAAAATAATTAATAAAATTAAGTCTTCGCGTCACATCCTCCTACTATTTTTTTTACCCTAATGACAATAAATTATCAAGATTGATAATATATACCTATATAATATAAGAGCTACTTAATAGTTGTTCCTTATTATACAATAATTTAAACTTTCCTTGCACCGAATATCACCCGTTACCGAACTTCGGTTGAACCGAATGTGAATTTCGACCCATGCCTAACAATTATGGAGATCAACCGAGCGTGTACATGTACTAACAAACGGTACTGGCAATAAACATACGTCACTCATTTTAATCAGACATACATTTGAGTCTCAATAGTTAAATTGTATTGCATATTTAGTATTAGGTCGTTGGTCTAATGGTTGCAATATCTTGCTAATAACAATCAACGGATCGTGGGTCCTAACATCTTGACACTGGGCCTAACATGTTTCTTTAGAATTTATAATTTCCCGTAGCGTGTTGGAAATCTGGATTTCAAATGGATTTGAGGAATATCGCCATTATGACCGGGCTATGAACAAATAAAAAGCCGTTAAGTTGAGTTTCGTTTTTATCGGTAAGTTTCCGAATGTCCAAAGTCGAAATAAATCCACAGCGCGTCTTGTTCAAATGATATATGACTGAGCTATTTTACCTCCTATCTAGTGAACCCTTTATTTGTCTGTCCTCTTTTAATCCTCCACAATTCGTTACTTTTTCTACCACTCCTTTGTTTCAATAAGTACTAAGTACTAGTAACAAGTCGAACGTAATGTCAGAGTACGAACAGATATTGCGCCAAACGAGACGCAACAAAAACAAAAACGGCCAGCTTCCGAGCACCCGCTGAGATTCTGAGTAAATACTTAACAGTGTTGATGACTTTAGTTTTTGTTCTGTTTGTAATTCGAGAAAAACGTTCGTTATTAGTGAAACCTTATTGAATGGGTTGACCGCAGTAATTATTACGAAACTAGGTTTAGCTCGCGACTTTGTTGAAATCTGCTGTAGTTTGTTTATGAAATCCAGCTGTAGTTTGTTTATTTTTTAATTAAAAAAAAAAAAAAAAAAAAAAAAAAAACCCCCCCCCCCCAAAAGAAAAAAAAAAAAAAAAAAAAAAAAAAAAAAAAAAAAAATTTTGGTGGGGTTTTTGGGGGTTTGCGGGTTTACCCCCATACAAAAAAAGAAACATTTTTTCTCTATATACATTATATATCTATTCTCCCTTCTCTGTCATGTAATACACGTTTTCATTGTATATGTTTATTTAATATACTGACAAACAATTTCTATTTTCCTTAATTAGAATATAGATTAAGCTATCATTTTGATTTCCATCTACAAAATTGAAAGTGTCTTGACTTAGCACACACAATGATTACATACACATTTTGTTGCACGAATTTTTTAGCATGAGATACTTTCGTTTAGTTGAAGAAAAGTGAAAATGATATTATAATTCGCGGTCGCCGGACCGTGGTCTCTTGGCCAATAACATGAGTTAACTTAGAATTATATTGTGTTATGTAGATGTTACTTAACGATACGTACCTGTTTGATCTAGTCATCTATGTAAGCAAATAAGAAGTAAAGACCATGTCTGTGATCTGTAAACAAGCTCTTTATAGAAATAAAGCTACTTTTTATGGTTAATACTCGAAATATATGATAGAGATTTAATTTAAGTACTAAGTTAAAATTTATTTTATTTATAAATGTGTACGACTCTCCAAACTACAAAAAATACTAAATTTGTGCTGTAATTAAATGAAATTTCTGAAATACCTACTACTATTTAAATAAAACACTTTAAGTTTAAAACGCGATACATTAGTTAAACCGTATTTTATTATTAAACTATAGACAGTATTTACCTACTACTAGTTTAACATTGATAAATATTCGCATCTATGTAACATATATATAGCTTACTAGCTGTAGCAGCGACTTCATCCGCTACGAATTTTGCGCATCCAAATTCGTTTTTGCAAACCCTTCAGCTTTATAAACTTAGGCTGTTACCCAAGACGTCGGTCGCGTTCTTGCAAGTAAATCT